ATCGAAACAGTAGGCAAAACAGTAGGCAAAATCGATTTATCGATCGAAACAGTAGGCAAAATCGATTTATTGATCGAAACAGTAGGCAAAATCGATTACCAGCTATGAAGAAGACGACGAAGATGGAGGAGACGGTGGAGATGGAGGCGGAGGCCGGCTGTGAAGAATACCCAGTTCATTATTGATCAAAAATCACAATACCCGGTTCATGATTCAACTAAAAACACAAAATCAATAAAAAAAATCATTTCGAATTTCATCAAATAGAACAAACCCCAGTTCGTGATTCATCAAACGAACAAAAATCCAATTCGTGAAATCCAAATAAAACACATAGAAAATCGAGAGAAATTCACCGTACCTTTGTTCTTGGATGCTGTGAAGAAATCGATGGAGATGGAGGTCTCCTGTGAAGAAATCGATGGAGATGGAGATTGATGGAGATGGAGATCGATGGAGATGGAGGTGGACTGTGAAGAAATCGATGGAGATGGAGGTCTCCTGTGAAGAAATCGATGGAGATGGAGATTGATGGAGATGGAGATCAATGGAGATGGAGATCAATGGAGATGAAGGTCTCCTGTGAAGAGATTGATGGAGATGAAGGTCTCCTGTGAAGAAATCGATGGAGATGGAGATCGATGAAGATGGAGGTGGACTGTGAAGAAATCGGTCGAGATGGAGATCGATGGCTGTGAAAGAAATCGATGGAGATAGGTATTAGGTTTAGGGTATATTTGTCAAATGTCTTGTTCCATTTAGTTCTAGGGGGGTGAGGGTGAACAGGCTTGTCCCACACGTGTTCCACTTAGTTCCATTTAGTTCCACTTAGAAACACACCAAACATGGGACAAGTGTGTCATGTCCTGTCCTGTCCCCCCCCCCGTTCCATGTACCAAACGCACCCGAAATGTCATTGGGGGTAAATTGGTCATTTTAACCAGTTCGGTCCTGTCATATCCTGTCTTACCAAACGCTGAACACCTGTCCTGTCATGTCCTGTCCTGTCATGTCCTGTCTACGTACCAAACGCACCCTAAATGACCCACACATTTGACTTTTCTTTTTATTTTTCTCTATGATGTAGAACTCCTTTACTATGGGTTTAAAAATTTAAGATCAAATGTCCGTTTTTTAAATTACACAAAAAAGTAACGTACTTTAACTTGATCTTTATTTTGGGTAGCGTACTTTTAAAATTTCTATTTTGGTACCTAAGATGTAAAGTTGTAAACATTTAACTACCCGGATAACTGGTTGCAGCATTAATTGGTTGCCATGCTGATGTAGTATACCGTATTCGGTTAATGCTTCAACAAATAATACTGAGTTGGATACCACATCACTCACCACATCAGCATGGTAACCGGTTAATGCTTCAACCAGTTACCTGAGTATCTAAATATTTAAAACTTTACAACTTAGGTACCAAAATAGAAGTTTTGAAAGTACATTACTCAAAATAGAAATCAAGTTAAAATACATTACTTTTTCATACAATTTGCTCTTTACAAACCGTTTAATTAGTATAAATCTTACGAAAAATAACAATGAATTACAAAGTATAAGGACAAAAATAGTAATTTTCAACAAACCACATGCATTAGAAACACAATTTAGTCCTTAATCAATGATTATATCCGAAAGAAAGGTTACAAATTGACGAAAGGAAATAAATGAAGGGCCGTATTGAAAGAAACTGTTATTTATTTTTGGAAGATAATAATGACCCCATTTATAATCTCTACATAAAATGTCTGTTTAGACAATGATTTTTGCTTAAAATTCATAGGTGAAACAATGATTGTTGTTTAAAATTCATGGTGTTGTTTCGTTTATGAATCTTGTGAAACCAAAAAGTAACAATAGTAGTAGATGGTTCATATGTGAAATTTGAGTAATGTCACGTAGGTGAAACACAAGAAAGTGACAATATTCAGAGATGTTTTATATGTGAAATTTTAGTAAATATTTTTGTATGTGAAATACAGGGAAAAAAAACTAAAAAATGGTTAGTTTTTTGTAGGCTTTTATATGTGAATTTTAATTATGGTTTGTATGGTAATCATGTCTTAAAATGTCAAGCGAACGACGTAAACAAGGAATCAGATATCAAATATACGTGTACTAGTACAATGCAGCGTGATACGTTTTGATTTTAATGTTTTGTTTTATTTTTTGTTTTTGTTGGTTTTATAACGGGTTTTGTGTGGTTTTAATAAAACGATAAAGTTCTTATCTTTGAACAAAATATATAAATTTGAAGAACAGATAAAAATTTAAAAATGATATATCGAGATTAGTATCAAATTAACAATTTAAAAGTTCTCCATTTTTTGTATAAATTGTTTTATTCAATTTTTTATTGTAATTTAATTTAGGGTTTAGTAATGTGATTTTTTTTATAAAGATAATAATCAAGTGTTCTCTTATAATTCAATGAATTATCCTAATTATATTTTAAATTTTTTTTATTTAAAATGAAATATTTGTCCTACATTGATTATGTTTATCAGTTAGTTAAAAAAATTCAAACATGCAGCTTTAAAAGTTGTACACATGCACTATTTACTTGTAATCTTGAATTTTAAGTGATATGCATTAATAAACAATATTTGATGCACAAAAAATAGTTTTTAAGAGTTTGTCTCAAATGCTTTATAATATATATATATATATATATATATATAGGTGTGAAAATGATCTGGCCTAACATATTTTTTTTGTCTAAGAGGGCTGATACAAACTTAAACCCGTTTTTACAGACTTGTGAACTTGTCTGTAGCCGCCTATAAACGGACATGAATCTAATTTAAACAACCGAAGAATCTTTAGCCTACAACTTTCCTCTATAGGATCCTTGTTGAAATCCCCACGTACAATAAACAAAGATTGAACTCATAAATAAAATCCAATAAAGTCGTTAGATTCAATGGTGTCGATTTTTTATTTATGGACGACCATTTTATTCACGAAAACACAAAAACCCGAAATCATAATCAAATCTTTTGTCATGGGTTTTTGGTTTCTTGGAACTGTATTGGTGTTTTGGCTCTGTTTCTTACGAAATTGTAATAGTGAGCTTATAAGTGCACTACCTGGGCAACCGAGTAATGTCTCGTTTCAACAACATTCCGGCTATATTGTCACGAACAAAGAACACGGCCGATCGCTCTTCTACTACTTCGTCCAAGCCGATTCGGTTAATCATTCGTCTCTTCCCTTAACCCTGTGGCTCAATGGAGGTTTTATATCACTTCAAAATTTCATATTTTAGCGGTTAATCTAAACTATAGTAGATACTATCTAAAATATATTTTTATATATATGTGAATAATTGTGTGAGAAAAAGAGTTAAAAGTGAAAGTGTAAGAAGGGATTTGGACCTTGATCACCTTTAATCTCAAACCCGCTCATGAATCGCGTTTGATATGGTGATTGATCGGGTGCATCTCGGTGCATCTCATCCTAATGTGCATCTCAAGGGTAAAGATCATTTCTTACGTTTCGTACATTGACTCTCATTCTCACAAGAATCCACCCCCCCCCCCAACACACACACACACATATATATATACATACACATATATATATATATATAGAGAGAGAGAGAGAGAGAGGAGGTTTACGGTGCAAACCACGTTATTTGTACAAACCGTACAAACTTCATTCAACCAATCATAATTTTTCATTTTGTTCATTTTTTTTTGTAATTATGAGAGGCTGATTAATCATTTTTATTGTGAAGGGTGTTAATCATGGATATTATCGTCTTCATTATATTGATTTTTAAATAAATACATGAAACAGTTTCATTAAAATTTCATAACCATATATGAAACAACTTCATCAAAAAAATATTATATGAAATAATTTCACAAGATTAAACAATTTCATAAGATTAAACAATAAAATCGATGAATGAAGGTGGTTTGCACTTTTTTGTACAAATGTGGGTGGTTTGCATTTGATCGCTCCCCCCTTCTCTTTCTCTCTCTATATATATATAATATAATATATATATATATATATATATATATATATCTTTTATTTCTAATTTATTATGAAAATGTAGGGCCAGGGTGTTCTTCTCTTGGTTTTGGGGCATTCATGGAAAATGGACCATTTCAAGTTGGTGAGAATGGAGAACTTGTCAACAATCAACACTCTTGGAATTTAGGTAAAAGTTTATACACAAATTAAAAAAAAAACACAATGTTTTTTTTTAATTAATAATTAAAATTAATTTAATTATTTGTCATTGACAGAATCCAACATGTTATATGTCGAGTCGCCTATTGGGGTCGGTTTTTCTTACTCAGAAACAGATGACGACTATATAGATTGGAACGACACAAATACTGGTTTGTCTTAACACCAATATTATACCTATACTGCTTTTAAAGTATCAAACAAATGAAATTTATAGAAGTTCCTTCCTTTTCGTTAACTGTATTTTTTACTTGAAAAAATAAAACATAAAAGAAAGAACTTCTCGTGATTTCTGTTTCTTTAAAATTAATATTTTTCTATACGGTTTTATTAACTATTTTTGTTATTAAATAATGTCAGCCTCCGATAATTTGGTATTTTTAATAAAATGGCTCGAAGAATTCCCGATGTACAAAGACTCGCAGTTCTTTTTGATCGGAGAAAGTTACGCAGGTACGTTCATAAATTTAATGCCAGATTCACAATGAAAATTTAAGAACGTTCATAATGATATATTTTTTTCATCAGAGTTTTTTTCCTCGAAAAATCAGATCCACAAACTAATGTGACCAATGAAAACAGTCTAACGATTAAAAACGTGGAACCAACAGATTTATTATGAAGCAAAAAGTGTTTTTTTCCGTAAGATACTTTTAAGAATCAGATGTGGCTAAAAAGTAGAGGTGTTTATCGGTTGAAATCCAATGGATCTATGTAGATATGATCTGATTCAATCATTCATTGGATGTTGGATTTTGTCATCCGATTAATCCAATTAAAATTGGACATCTGATTCAGTCCAATCCAATGGATGATTAAGTCAGATTGGTTCCCTCCACTAGATATTACTATTGGTTATCCATTGAATCAATTTCAACTAAAAAACAATATCGTAACATGTTAATAATTACGTATATCGCGGAATTAAATGGTCAATTGGATTGAATCAGTTGAGTTTTATTGGATTGTGGACTGTCATTCAAGAACCGACAGATCCAATTTGGATTCTGAAATTTTGGATGCGATCCGATTCAATTAGAATTGAATATTCAATTATGATCATACCAAGTTTTATTTAAATTTATGTTTTTAAATTAAATTTTCTCAAATATTTTATTATTTAATTAATTTTTTTATTGCAGGCCATTACATTCCACAGCTAGCAGAATTGATATTGGAGTATAATAAGAGCCCAAATATTACTCAAATCAACCTCAAAGCCATTGCTGTAAAAATTTAAATATTTATTTGTTACATAAATTGCATGAAAAAATAACGTATTTTAACTTGATTTATATTTTAGTTAATGTATTTTCAAAACTTCTATTTTGGTACTTAAAAAGTTTTAAACATTTAAGTACTCGGGTAACCGGTTGAAGCATAACCGGTTATCGTGTTGATGTGGCGAGTGATGTGGTATCCAACTCAATATTATTAACTGACTTGGTTAGTGAAATGAATTTCTTTGAATCTAAAATTTTAGTCTTTTTTTAATCTAAAATTAGTCTTCATCTAGTTACCCAAGTACTTAAATGTTTAAAACTTTACATCTTAGATAACAAAATGGAAGTTCAGAAAGTACGTTACCTAAAATAGGAATCAAGTTAAAGTATGTTATTTTTTCATGCAATTTGCCCTTATTTGTTTAAAAGATGATGATGTCATTTTTTATGTGTTTGGTAGATCGGAAATCCGCTTTTGGATATCGATATCAGTGTTCTTGCAGGAGAATATTTATGGTCCCACGGTGCAATATCAGATAAGACACTGATGTTGGAAAAAACTGTGTGCAACGACTCAAAATACCTTCGAGAGTACGTCCATTCAGGTTGGTCACAGGGTTGCAACGATGTTTTCAATCGAGTCGCTAATGAAGTAGGTGTCGATGTTCCGTATGACGACCTGCTTTTGCCGAAATGCTTGTCGACGCCGTCATCTCAACAATTTAAACCTCGAGGGTTACATGCAAAAGCACAATCATCGGTACAGATTCACCTCTTATTAACATCCGAAGTTACCCCTAGGGCGCATCACATTGGTTTCAGACTGGTTTTTTTGCACAAATATTCAAGGGTTCAAGTCTGACGACCACAATATCTGAGTCAGAATTGAGCTTCTTGCGGCTTATCAGGGCATCTCCGATAATTTATCCAAAATTAAAAAAAGAAAATTCAAAAATCTTTAAAATAATTACATTCAAATCCAACGGTTTCTAAATTTTAGAGATTCCGACATTATTATATTACTGCCCTCGTCCCAATTTACCATTTTACCCTCAATTTACATTCAAATCATTAGTAAGTTTCCAATTTCAGAAGTAAGTTTCCAATTTACTATTTTACCCTCAATATCATTTTTTCTTTATTTTTTGGAAAATTTGTTTGAGATTGTGCTTTTAAGTCAGCCATCTAACGGGTTGTTGTGTACTTGATTTGTCTCTTACATGATACTGTTCGAATAAAACAGTATGGGTCGACTCGGGACTTGCCGAATGGTTTGCCCACACATCTGAAGTTTTAAACCTATTCGAGTTCCAATCTCACATTTCCATTATATCTGCAATTCGTTCAGTTCAGTAAACTTGTTTTCTACAGATCGACAGAATTACCGGTGACCCGTGTTTGAAATCAAGGATTTTTACGTATCTAAACAGACACGACGTTCAAAAGGCACTTTATGCCAACACAACCGATCTTCCAGGCCATTGGGACTTCTGTCTAGGGTACGTTACTCTCGTTCTCTTGTCGGAAAAATATTTAGCGACGGAATAAACCGTCACCGTAACTAACATTATTTTGCAGGCCTTTGGTTTATCAAGAAGAGAATCTTGAAATAAACATAATTCCACTCGTCTCCAATCTCTTAAAGGCTGGCCTTCCAATTTGGCTTTACAGGTATAACATCCATTTAACTGCACTAAAAGCGTCGCAAATAGTCTCGGTCATTTATGTCACATTTGGTAACCGTAAGCCCGGTTTTTTAAAGCTTATTGAAAAAGCTTCGGTTGATAAGCCACAAGCTAGCTTTTTGAAAAACTACCAAGCCGTTTACCAAATACTTACTCGGTAAAAATTTAACACTACTATTTACTTACCGGGTAAGATTTTAGTCTATCAAAACGGCATCGCATGTAAAAATTTACACGGTAAGCGCTTACCGTGGTAAGAGTCATCGCTCTCACTTACCGGGTAAGATTCTTGGTATGTACCATATTCATCCAGTGAGGTAATTTGACTTGGTAAGCGTTTACCCGGATAAGCGTTTGGTAAACGGCCCCTACAGTAAGTATTTTTTCACATTTACCCAATTATGTCAGAGCATTAAAAATGTCGCCATAGCCTCGGGTCATTTTCGCCATAGTTGGTGACCATATGCTAGGTTTTTTAAGCTTATTGAAAAAGTCCGTTTGTTAAGCTACACGTTAAACTACTTTAAGTAGGGTTTCAATCAACTTTAAGGTCTGGTTTTCACATTTTTTAATTATGCCCCTTATACTTTACATAAATGACAAAAACTGTATTTGTTAGTTTGTCGGTTAGTTTATCAGTCAACAACTAGTTTATTAGTCAGTTTGCCGATCACGGGCTTACTATTTGCGAAATATGCAGTGGGGATCAAGATTCAAAAATCCCACTTACACAAACAAGAATCATCGTTAATAATATCGCGAAAGAGATTAACCTCACGACTCTCACGAAATATAGGACTTGGTACAGTCATAATCAGGTACGCAAATGACATCTTGAAGTAAGTAGGTTTGATGTGTTGTGAGCGTTACAAGTGATTTACGAATCTTGTGATGTTACAGGTGGGAGGTTGGTCGCAAGCATTCGGGGGATTAAAAGACGGAAAAAACGTTATGTATTTGACATATGCAACGGTGCGAGGAGCGGCCCATGAAGTTCCGTTCACGTCTCCATCACAAGCTCTAACCCTCTTCCGCAGTTTCATTAACGGATCCGCGCTCCCTCGCCCCAAATCCTAAAAAGGCACTATGGTTTCAAAAGGACCGTCGCGTGTGATGCATCTGACGATAATAATAATAATAAAGGAAATAATATTTACAAGTTCAAGTCTTTTTATGTGTCGTTTGATTCACTGAATCCAAAGGAAAACAGATGAAGTTGGAATGACAAATTGCTTTGACCAAAATTCTTGCACCCTGTTTCATTCGCTGATTGAATAAATTAGATTCCCGCCAAATCGTGCAAAGTCGAGGGATTTGATCAAAATTTGATTTTGAACAAGAAAAATATGAGAACGCAACCTAACCGATTGCGTCGTCGGCGACCACAACCGGTGCCGCTACCGCCATTTAATATGATTATTAATTTTATCATTATATAGTACCTATAAATCTTAACCAAGAAAGTACACATGTCATAAAAGGGTATGTTGTCATTATTCCGTTACAAATCCAAAGTTACATTCTGCAACCAAACAGATTCCAGTTCATTTAACAGATTCTAAAACTGCCAACCAAACGTGTGGTCGAACTTTATTTAAGTTTCATTCTAATTCCAATTCCTTTCCATTCATTCCAAAAGCATTATGCGAACCAAAAACCCCCCTTAAAGGCAAGTATGTATAACATTATGAGTAGTTTAAAGCAAATAATGGAGGGTAAAATTGTCTTTTCCGAGTGATGGAGCCACAAGGCTAACAGGTGTCCTCGTCCCATTGGATTTTCTCTTAAACCCCAAACAAAATGAGCTCAATGTAATCCACCTGAGAATCGAGTCTCGTGGTGGGATGTATGCAGACCTGTCATATGAGTATTTTCCAACTCTACTATATTTCTTTTCCCCTATGATACCTTCAATATCGCGTGAAAAGCCTCTTGCGGTATATCCACCGATCCGACACGCTTCATTCGTTTTTTTCCTTCTTTTTGTTTCTCCAATAGTTTCTTCTTCCTTGTAACATCTCCACCATAACACTTTGCAAGAACATTCTTCCTCATTGCCGAAATCCTAAAAAACGAATCGTCAAGATTTTAATCACGAAAACCCGCAAAAAAATCTTTCGGAAACGGAAAAATTTGTCAACGAGTTTTGAAAATAGCGAGTTTCTGGAACGAGAGGTGGTCAAACTTACGTCTCCCTAGCAATGACCTTCGAATCGATGGCCGCTTGTATGGTGATCTCGAACATTTGCCTGATTGAATGTGGTATGTGTCAGGGTATTTTGTAATAAAGTTTCGAAATTTTCTATTTTGTACTCATTTTGATCGGTACCCTATTGATTTTGTATTGTAACATCTGATGACATGGACGTCCTCGTCCACTTAGCAATAAACGGATATCCACGTCATCAAATGTTGCAAGAAATTTTCTATTTTGTACCCACTTTGATCGGTAACATGTTGATTTTGTAACATGTGATGACGTAAACATCGAGTTTATTGCATCTGATGACGTGGACATTGAGTTTATCGTCCACTTCGCAATAGACGGATATTCACGTCGTCATTTTCTATTTTGTACCCATTTTGATTGGTAACCTTTTGATTTTGTAACATCGGATGACGTGGATGTGGAGTTCATTTTCCACTTTGCAATAAACATATATCCACGTCATCAAATGTTGCAAGTAATTTTCTATTTTGTATCTATTTTGATTGGTAACTTGTTGATCTTATATATATATATATATATATTTCAGATTTTCGGACGGATCGGGGGGCCAAAAATCAAACCCAACCCGAACCCAAATTTTCCCCGAAAAGTCGGTTTTCGGATTTCAGGTTTTCCGTAATACCTTGTTTTCGGTTCGGGTTTGGGTTTTGGGTTTCAGATCATTCGGGTTTTGCACACCCCTAGTAACAGGATCAACAGGTTACTTATCAAAATGGGTACAAAATAGAAAATTTTGAAACTTCATCGTATCGATTGAGAAAAAGTTTATTCATTACCTGTCAATATATTTCTTGAGCTTTTCTACGAGTTCACGACCAACACGTTGTGCCTTCAACTTATGAACGATTGTTGCCATTGCATCAACGGGTTGTCCGTTCAATAAGATATCAAGTTTCACCACATCGGAAGCAACGTACCTGTAAAGCAAATGGATTTTGTCAACCATTCACATGAAGCTCGGTTTTTTTCACGTAAATAGTTAAACTCTTTGGAGCAGAGGACAGGTTTGTGTAAATCTCACCCCTCCGAGACTCCATCTCCTACTGCGGATGGGGAAGGGAACAAAGGTTGACTAATAAGAAACTGGATACTTCCTCTACCAGATGCGTTTTAAAACCGTGAGTCCAGGTGTGTGGACAAAGCGGACAATATCTGGTACGGTTAGCGTGGGATGTTACAAATTTACTAGGCTAGTTTGATTTGATTCACATGAAGCTGTCTTTTTCTGCCATTTATCATTTTCATTTCACGGGTCCTATATGCTACCGCAAGAAATGAAGATATGGCTACTTAAAAAGGGAACGGATGAAGATTAACACCTAGAAAATGAAGAATGGATAACGAAACCAGCAAAATGAAGAATGAAAACTTGGGCTATCTTGCGGGTCCCATGAGGTCATTTTCGCTCTGGTTTGTCACTCTTCATCTTGTTGCTAACAAGCAAAGTGGACCCATGCATCCTTATTTATACTAACAACATATAAATAAGGCCCACAAAGTAAAGATGTTAAATGCACAAAAAATATATACGAGTCGGTAACCAAATAACCGTTATGATCATATGCGGCCTAATATCACTTTTCCCACAATAACCTTTATAACGGCTAGTCTTAAGGGTAAAAAGTCATTTTTGATCAAAAAACAGCTACTTCGACTCAAGTTAGCGTTTTTGGCTTTTTCAGGCCGGGATTTTCAGGCCTTGATTTTGTGCATAACGGCTAGTTTGAACAGGCTTTTTCAGGATGGGCTGGGCTTTCAACGAATTTGCAGGCTTTATTCGGGCTTTTTCTGGATGGGATTTAATCAGGCCTTGAAGAATAAATTAGGCCTAATCGGGCTTTTTGGCCAAGCCTTAGCCTGGGACCGGGATTGGTCCAGGGTATTTTGTGCATACTTTCAACTCAAGACAAAAAAAGAAAAGCACAGAGAATAGGGTCTTACTCTGAATCTTCGTAGTCAAACGATGCATAACCAGACGTAATGCTCTTCAGTTCATTGTAGAAGTCAACAACAATTTCCCTTAGAGGTAACCGGTACTTCATGAACGCCCGTTGACTGCATATAAACAACATAAAATGTTAACTTCATAAACGGAGTGATTCCAACCCAAATTCAATTACCCTAAGATCAAGAAATAACGAAAAACAGAGCATGTATGAGCTTACGTATCGATAAATGAATAACAGAGCATGTATGAGCTTACGTATCGATAAATGAATATTCTATCTGTTCCCCTCTTCTTTCCGAGCAAAGATTAATAACCGCACCAACATACCTTCAATGAAAAAACAGAAGTAATTATTATTTTTAACTATAATGGGGAGGACCCACTATGGTGCATGCGGTGGCACAGGCCACCACTTCGTTCCTCCGTCATAGTGTAAGAAAAAATAGGGTCGTGAAAGGTGCCAACGTGTTATTTCGTCGGGTGCAACAGTATATTTCTTGAAACTACAATAATAAAACAAGTTTCTCTTGGCAGAGTTGGTTTGCATGGTTTTTTCTCCTCTTTAGGGCACGGGTTCGAATCCCGTTTGTATCATTTTCCTATTCTTTTAGTTTCTAATTTTTCAGGCTTATCATGTTTCTGAATTTTTTTTGGGATAAAAGGCTCGAACACAGGACCTCACATACGAAAAGCAAGGAACTAAGGAACTAACTAACAGTCTAACAGACCAATGATGATTTTGTAAAAAATATCCATAGCTTCGTTTCTTATAGTCAGATGGTGCCACCACTTGAAAAAATCTCCTAGGTCCACCTCTGCTATCTTACTCGGCTCCCCAATGAAAACTAATTATCGTTCTTGAAAAAATGTCAAATGTGGTATAGTTTACAAGAACAAGAGAAGCATGGACAGATTGTGGAAATTTAGAAACGTAAAACCATCCTACTTGGTATCAAATAGGGTTATTTAGAAGAATAACCTTCTAACTGATTTAAGAACGCCTCTGCCTAACACAAGAATGTCTCCTCCTAACACAAGAATGTCCGACCTTCTATGGAAGTCATTTTTTACAAACTAACCTTCCAGTGTTTTCTCAAGATTTCACGGGGGGTGACCATTTAACACCAGAGGCAGGTCATTTGAAGGTTATTGCGTTAAAAACAGATGTAAAACGATATTGTTGGTCCTCGAATGGTAATGACTAACACAAAAGGTGTTTGCAGAGGGGGGGTTGAATACAAACACAACAAATTTTCACTTTCAATGTTGTATGTTCATTTAAAACAAAAAATTACATATTTGTTGCGGAAGCTAGGAAGGTAAGACTTGATCCTAAACAATCTGGATATGCTCCAAATTTAAAACTCACTTAAGGTCATTTAAACTAAATGGGGAGGGTTGTTGGACTTAAGATTAAAATTTAGGGATTTTGAGAGCTTACTCACTGGGGATAATAATTGTTGCCAACACCGTAGGTTCCCAAGAAGCTACCACTCGGATTTTAGGATTTGCAGTGAAGGCGGCTGGATTTTGAACTTCTACTTTGCTGAAAAATAAAAATTAGTAAAACGTTCGGCAAAGAAGCCAAAGAGATCTTATAAAGACCAAAAGTGCCATACCTCCCATCTGAATACTCAAAAATATATGGTACAGTCGGAACGGTAGAAATGATATGTGTTCCATATTCCTGTCATTAACAAGACAAGCATGCATAGTTAGAACTAAACCAAACTAAATCAGACGAACCCAGTAATCGAGAAAAAAATCAATAATGAATACAAGGCAAACTACATCAACATGAAAATTTAATAAAAAAATTCAATATTACAAAGTTATAATTCGTCCACTTTTTGTTCACAAAGTTATGATATGTTCCCTTAATTGCACCAAAAACAATATGTTCCCTTAATTGCATAAAGAAACATAATCGTTCCCACAAATGGGAGCTTTTGAAAGTAGGTTCCCCAAAATAAAAACCGTAACAAAGGACGTTCTATTTTGATGCAATTTGTCCATGAATATACTAACATATGTGTATGTGTTATACCTACTTGCCACAGATAATACTTACTAGGTTTGTGAGAAGTGTGCGGAAAATTAGAAAGTTTACCCGAAGAAGCAAAGGGAAATTACTTCATAGTTCCATGAATCCAAACACATCCAAAAAAATTATGCAACTTAGATTTCCAACAAGCATCTGATGAGCAATTGGAACCTAATTTCAAATTCTAATAGCCCAACAAAATGAAGAAAGAACACCTGCTCAAGCCGTTGATGGAAAACATCCATGTGAAGTAATCCTAAAAAGCCACACCTGTAGGAAATAACAATACATATAAAAACTGCTATTGTTGCAGTTTGGTGATAAAAAAAAGAGAAAGATTTTACACACCTGAAACCAAGACCAAGTGCTGTGCTGCTCTCTCTAGCAACAGAGACACTGGCATCATTGCATGTTAATCTCTCAATTGCATGGTTGAGTCCTTCGAAATCAGAACCATCCGCGGGATAAAGGCCAGAGAAAACCATATGTTTTGCAGGCTTGAATCCTAATGATTATGTATCAAGAAAAGACACATATCAAGTAATATGAATTTCATACGTCGTTGATACTTCTGGCAAACATAATTAATTTGGCTTATACAGATAATCCATCCTGTGCAACCAAATAATTAGGATTCTGAAATCTTAGTTTTGGAAATTTTTCTTGTTTTATTATAATTATTTTTGCATTTTTGGCCTCAAGTTTTCAGAATTTCTCTTTCGAATTCTTTTCCTTTTCGCGGAATTTTTCATACTTCTTGGACAAGATTTCTTCATATGGCTCGGCTTGGCTCATATGGTTTATATGGCTTGGCTTGGCTCAGCTCATATGGCTTGGCTCGGCTCATATGTTATAAGAACAATAAAATATATAATAAATATAAAACTTGTTTCAAAATATGCACTAGACACACTACATTATAATGCAAACTGGCAAGCATAAACAACTTCAACAGTAACCATTATGTGGATCCATAGACTACCAAAGCAAATTGCTCAATGCCACCAATTACCAAATGATATCAAAGAATGATGATGGTTGGAGATACTCTCGGTAAGGAAACAAACAAAGGAACCAAAGGGTCATTGTCCCAGTGGTAGAGCCCAGCCTCCCAACAAGTCAAGGGTCAAACTTCAAATAAAGCTTGCATGAGTATTTAGCTGTATATAAATGTTATATACTTAAAAAAACAAAGCACCTGAGCTGAGAGTTTCAAAGATTACCTGGTAGAGGCTCTACGGTTGTTCGGCTATGAAACAGTGTATCTCCAACACGTGCCTCCTTAGTTGAGCGCATACCACTGACCATATACCCCACTTGTCCAGTTAAAAGGAATCCAGTCGGCCTGAGTTCCGGATGCATAATCCCAACATCCAAAACCTCATAAGATTGGCTAGTTGCTGCTGATGTAATTTTATCACCTTTACGCAAGCAACCATCAACAACAGCCACGTGACATATAACTCCCTTATATTCATCGTAATAAGAATCCAGCAAAAACATACGAAGATTTGAATCACTCTTGCCAGGAGGAGGAGGAATCCGCTCAATTACAGCCGGAAGCACGTGTTCAAGACCTTGGCCGGTCTTGGCAGATGTCAAAAGTACGTCACTTGTATCAAGATCAAACATGGACTTTAATTGTGCTTTGACACGATCAGGGTCAGCAGTTGGTTGATCAATTTTGTTAATAACAGGTATTATTGCGAGATTAGATTCAAAGGCTAGATAAAAGTTAGCAACTGTTTGAGCTTGTACTCCTTGGGCTGCATCAACCACCAAAAGGGCACCCTGGCAAGCAGCCAACGATCTCGAAACTTCGTAGCTGAAATCCACATGACCAGGTGTGTCAACCAAGTTGAGTAAATAGCTTGTGTTACTGTCTTCCAACTCGTAGTTATAGAACATGGTAGCTGTTTGAGCCTTAACAGTGATTCCCCTTTCTCTCTCAACCTACAACCATCTATATCAGCCACAAGCAATACATAAACCAAACCAAATAAGCCCATTATATCCCGCTCGAAAGCAGGGTCTAGGAGGGGTGGGATATAAGCAGTCTTGACCTATATCCTAAAAGGGTAAAGCAGCTGTTTCTGTGCCAAAGTGTGAGAGAAAAGGCAATGACACATATGAGGCACAAGCCAAATATGTGATATGAAAATATATGGTCCCAATATATCTCGGCCTTATTTTATCAGTAATCTAAATGCATATTTCTGGACCTGGAAATATATATGAAACAATTCAAACAAAATGGTTATAGGGACTGAGTAGTTTAGCAGTCTTTTAAGTATGCAACAAACTAAACAATAGTCTAATATATGGTTTTCAAAATCGTTTGAGGTGGGATTCCGAACATGAGGCGCCGCCTCAAGTGAACTGAATGAAACGTACGCCTCAAACCATCTGAGGCTGTGAGGCGAGACTGAGGAGTAGATTAGAAACTAGGGTTTCAAAATTGACTTAGGGCTAAGTTATGTGATTCTAATTCTCTTTTTTTTCTCTATAGATAAATATGCGATTTTAATTCTCTCTTTATAGCTAAATGTGGGACTTCAATCCTATTTATTGATAAATATGTAGCATCAATTCTCTCTTGATATATGTGATTTTAATTACTTGTTAACAAAAACTGAATAATAAAATCTTTATATATTAGTGACATATATTAAAATAATTTTAAGACTATTAATGATGATTTTGAATATCACTCGGTATCAAGTATGTACTACATATATATAAATATTTTTATTTATTTTTAGGTTCCGCCTTAGGGGTTACGACTCACTGCCTCGAGGCTTACACAGTTACGCCTCGGAGCTTGGATGGAAAACGCCTCGAGTCCCGATTCCGCTTTTTAAAACCTTGGTCCAATGGTGCATTAGTGTAAGTTTCTATGCTCTCAAAGTTGTTAAAGGCTCAAGGTGCACTTAGGCGCAAATGAGTCTAGGGGCCTTCGCGTGAGGCGCGGGACTCAGGAATGCGAGGCGCATCTTATCAAAAAATACACACACACACAATTATACACAACTCAAATATGTTGCAAAGCCTCCAATGCAGCAACCGACAGTACGTCGATAGAGGCAGAAGGGAAAATTTAAAGCATGAGCCATGAAAAAGAAGTTTTAAGGTATGGGTATTTATAGAGGATGCTTGAAGTTCTAAGGATTGTTTAACATCAGGATTTGACTTATGTCATCAATTAATATTAGGGTTTGACTATGTATTTAATAACTCTTTATGAGGCGCTCATAGGCCCACAAGATGCCTCAGCCAAGGCGCAACGCCTTAGTGAGCCTTGTGAATATGCCGAGCCACGACTTTGAAAAACCCAAGACCTTGAGCCTTGTGAGCCTAGGCGCGCTTTTAACAACTATGTATACTCTTAGTAATTTTTAGACAAGGACATCATACAAGTGAAACCAAACATGAAATATTGACTATTAAGATCAATTGAGTTAATTTTCAACTTCAAATGAATATGCACACTTCGGAACTTTTTGAGAAAGAAGGCAGAAAATAGAACATTTCATTTTTTGTTTGAATGGAGAGTGTGGTTATTTAAAACGTAAATGGGGTTTTATTCATAAACCCAATTCAGAGCATTCATAATATGAATACTTAGGGGCTACTTAGGGGCTGTTCGGTTGGTTTTCAATTAAGTACTTTATGCATTAAGCTGTTTGCATGGATTAATCTGGGAGTTTTATTTGGTAGGGGGTTTTCATAGATGGAAGGAAAGTGTTTTTTAAATGGGAGGGACAGGTTTGGAAGAAAAACTTGGCTTCCCCTTACCGAATAAGTCACTTTTTATATCATTATACCACTATAAACATGTATAGCTGATCGAATAACTTGCGAGTCGGCCGAGTCCTATTAAGCTTGTCGAGCTGCTAACTACTGCATAAATGAAACATAAACCAATACAAAAAAAAATCTGAAAAAGAAGAAAGCGATAAGATGGCAATGTATAGTGTATACCTGCAATTTATCTAGATACTGAGGTTGTCCGTGTCCTCTCTTAATAGTACCAGTAAGTTCAAGAAGCCGATCAGCCAGCGTAGACTTTCCATGATCAACATGAGCAATAATTGAGAAATTTCGAATTTTATCCGTGGGGTATTGGCTCAAATCTATGACATTATTATCATCTCTACGGTTACTGTTCCTAGAATTGGAGCAAAATCCGTGTTCATTGGAAGCAAAGTAAGGTAACCCTAGATTATAATGATGATTGAGGGAGAATCTGTATATGCGATTGGCTACTTGGATTGCTTTCGATGCTCGATTGAAATAAGACATTGGTGAGGTGTCTATACGTGAGCTGAGGAGGTAAGATTTAGGGTTTTGTGTCGACTGGTAGTCGGAATCATGGCTGACGGCTAGTGGTATCGCCGGAGACGGTGGTTTGGTTTCCACATGTGTCTGCAACTTCGTCTACCCTTTGGTTCTGCTGTTTGCCCTAACAGGAGAGTGTTCGAACAACAAAGACAATGAAAAATAAAATTTAAAAAGAAATTCGATAACTTGTCAAAAAAAATTAATTTTTTAAATAATTAGTTTCGTATTAATATTAATATATTTTTTTAATTATAATATTTTCATATTTATATTTTATTCAAATATAATAATATTATTATTTTTTTAAAGTCACAAAAAATTGTATTATAACATTTACGGAGATAAAAAAATAAAACATTAAAAACTGAGATGTATTTCTCAACATTATGCGAGTACCCTTCTAATTATAAAGCATTTGACAAAAACTTTTAAAAATCATTTGTATACATGAAATATTGTGTATTAATGCATATTACTTAAAATTTAAGATCACAAGTAAATTGTGCATAAGTACAACTTATTAAAGCTTAATTTTTGAATTCGTATAACTAACTACAAATATAGATAATCAAATATATAATAAATATTTCATTTTAAACATAAAAAATATAGAATATAATCAGAATAATCATTAAGTTATAACATAATTATTATCTTTATATCACTTCAAATCTTCATATCACTACTCCCATACACCAGATAAAAACAAGACATTGTATTTGTCCAAAAGTAACACCAAACATGCCTACAGTGGGTAAATAATGCCACTGTCCACAAGAACGTCTCTTTAGCATAAAAACCAATCACTTGTAAATTCAATTCATCACTTCTCACAAACAATTTAGACGAAATGGATAGAAGCAAAATAAGGGAAAAAAATGCTACAAAAGCCTAGAAAAGAGTAATAAATAACTCTAGAAAATGGAAATTATCACACAACCTCACATGATTCTCCGTATATTAAAAATCAAACCATTTTTTATTTTTTTAATTACATTTTATATCCTTATAATTAGTTATTTAATTTATTTATATTTCTTACTTCCTTTTTTTCATTTTACATCTTCATCATATTAACATAAATAACCGTAAATGAACTAAAGTGCATTAAAGAGTACGTTTTTTTTATCTACAAATTATACATTATAATCGTCTCATCAATATCTCAAAAATAAGCCCAATACTGAATATATTTTAATTTAACGATACTATGAATAGCTATGAATTAATTTATTCTATATCTCTTACGTTTTCGTTTTTATTTTACATATTTATCACATTAAAAACACGTATTCATATATTAATTGAAATACATTTAAAAAATGTGTATTTTTTTATTACACATTTATCATGTTATCGAATTATTACGTTTTAAAATATTTGACCAATGGAACATATCAAGTTCGAATTTATATATCATCTTATTTACGATTTAAATCACAAAAAAACTATAAAATTAGTATCGAGAGGGACAGAGAATAAAACGAAACTTGAAATAAGACTGTCGTTTTCGAGTTATCAGTTTCGTAATTGAAATGATTTTGCGCTGCATGCAATGCACGCGAGTAGGTTACCAGTTTCATTTTTAAAACTTAACACTTATTGTTTGACAAACATGAATAGAAACGTGTACTGCTTATTTTGCACAAAGGGGGTGTATTTTGTTTATTCAAAAACACGTCATTCGAACTAAAAGCATTTACGTCATCCGTTTTAAAACAAGTGTCTACAATAGAAATGATATACTGTAATTTTAAACATGCATAATTATTACGTTTTCTAGTGAATAAAATGACAACCTTAATCTTAACTAATTCATCAATCCTATCGACTATCAAATATAAATGCACTAATTAATGATAGATATGAAAATCTAGTTGTTTTTTTTTTTTTAATTGAACATTTAATATACGACAAATAGAAATAACGGGGTTTAATTATTTGAGGATTTAAAAATTTGTGAGAACTTTCAGGGAGACCTATGTAAGAATGGTGATTTGTCCCAATCCGGTGGGGAACCCGTCTAACTCGACTCGAACGGGGAGTCCCTACTAAAACAGGTATCGGGGGCGAAGCTGAGGATCCGTGGTAGACTCAAACCGGGGTTAGGGCCGACGCCTGAGATTATCGATAGACTCAAACTAACGGATATTATTTATGAAGTTTGATCGGGGACAAGATGTTAATCCCCATACCCGTGGGGGACCCGGGGCTATTACTAAAAACTGGGGCTGGGGCTGAGGATTATAAAACCCGCCCCATCCCCGCCCCGTTGGTTTGCCTAGACATCTGAAGCCCCGAGCAGGATCTCGTGCATCCGCTCAATATATTTTCGCAAGTAAAATTTTTTTTAGGGTATGAAAAATGCACCCGTTAAAACTTGAGAGGTGCTCCGCGATATGATAAAATACAAGAAACATTAACCAAAAACACAAATAATCTTTTGAAATCAACAAACCTCAACATCCCCACCCAAAAACTTGAAAATCCATCTAAATCAACAAAAAACTTTCAAAAATCCATCACATGGTGGAATTCAGCTAAAAACAAATCGAATGATTTTTTATCTTAAGGTTTTGTTTTACATAATTTTTTTTATTTAAATATAGTATTTAATGTATTATTTAACATATATTGATTTCAATTGTTTTTATGAACACATTGTGAAATAAATATATGTGAAATAAACACATTATAAAACAAATATATGTTAACCATAATATTAAATTAGATGTAAAAAAATAAATCATATTAAATAACACATAATACCCTAATTTTCATGTCGAAATAAGCTTCGTCAAAATAAAAAATATAAAAACTTGTAAAATAATAATAAAAAGTTAAACAGGAACATACAAAAGCAAGATGATTGGCTTATATGTCACGCGAAGTCGAACCTTCGTCCTGCCTGCGAAACTGGTTTAAAAGGGTAAAGAGCGTTCACAGATTCCCCCACCACCACCGGCGGCCGATCATCATCTTTCCGGTCACTTCCGCCCTACTCTCTCGTCGCTGAACCTCTCAGGCAAACTCCTTCTCTTTCGCTCTTATTTTACATTCATATTGTCACGTAATCATCCCCGTATTCAACGTATTTAACGGAATCCTATAATTGAGCAAAATCACCAACCTGTTTGATATTTTTAGGGTTTAAAATCGCTTCAATTTTTGTTGCGGTTCGTCTGTTTCTATAGATCTAGGTATACATTCAAATAATTTGATTTTGGAGCTTAGTCTTTTGAAATGATGGCATCAGTATCAATTATATAGATGATTGCAGGGACGGAACCAGAAAGTTTTCAAACGGTGGCACCATTTAAATATAATAAACAAAGATAGGGATATTTTTCACAAAATCATTGGTCTGTTGGTTAGTTATTTGTTTTTCATATGTGAGATAAGTGTTCAATTCTTTTATTGCAATTTTTTCTTTTTCAGAAACATAATACATTTGAAATTAAAAGCTAAAAACTAAGAAAATGATACAAACGGTATTTGAACTCGGGTATGGAGCGGAAGAAAAGCCTTGCAAACCAACTCTACCAAGGAAAACTTATGTCCTCATTGTAGTTTCAAAATATGTACGGTAGCACGCAACAAATTAATACGATGACACTTTTCAGGACCCTATAATTTTTTACACTAGGACGGAGGAACAAAATTGTGGCAAGTGCCACCACAAAAACCCATTGTGTCCGTCCCTGGATGATTGACAGATGGACCGGAAGTGAATTGTTTAATCTTTTATGTTTATTGGTATAATAGGGGAGGAGGATGTCTACGCCCGCAAGGAAGAGATTAATGAGAGATTTTAAGAGGTTGCAGCAGGATCCTCCTGCCGGTATCAGTGGTGCTCCGATCGATAACAATATCATGCTCTGGAATGCTGTCATATTTGGGTAGGTGGAAGTGTGAGTTAACGTTTTCTTGATCACGATAAAGTGTAGAAGATGATGTTTTTGCTTGGAAACAGGTGATTAATAACTGACTACTTTTATTTGCATTGCAGTCCAGATGATACTCCTTGGGATGGAGGTGAGCGCGGATTGCATGGCTCACTAATGTGTGAATGATGACATAATTCAAGGGATCTCCATTTTTATATTAGTCTGTTGTATAAATATGTATATACAGACTTGCAATATTTACAGTAGCATCTAAAACCCCTAATTCAAGTCCAACGCTAAGTTACTTTTAGTTTTGAAATTAAAGGTGAATACTTGGATGTAGTACAACATTTTTCCTTATGTAGGGAATAATAGAGGCAGAGGGTCCATAAACCATTGATGCTCCCACCTATACCCCACCCCATCCCATTAGAACATAATATGTCTGGTATTTAATGAAGGAATTATTCAAAAGATAGCTCTTTTGTGTATTGTTAGAAAGATAATACAAGTTCATAGCTTTTCTCCCTCGTTTCTAGTTGTATATATTTTGGTCACTTCCAATATTGTTCTGCAAGTTACAATATTTAATACAAGCTTGAAATATTTAATACAAGCCTGTATTAAATGTTGCAACTTGCGGAAGAAGATCAGAAGTGACCAAAATATATACAACTAGAAATGATGGAGAAAAGCAATGAACTTGTTTATCTTTCTAATAATACACAAAAGATCTAATGTTTTTAGCAATTCTTCATTAGATACTAGACATATTGTGATCTCCCGGTGGGAGGTGGGAGCATCAATGGTTTATGAACCTTCTCCCTCTAGTATCCCCTATATATCAAAGGAAAGTACTACATACAAACATTCGTATTGAATTTCAAAACTAAAAGCAACTTAGCATTGGATATGATCATATGAATTAGGAGTTTTAGATGGTTGCTAATTTCTTATATCTGCATATGCTTTTGCAAATGTTTGATGGAGTTTTAGATGGCAAATTAGCTTGCTTTTTTTTTCCTGATATGTAAGCAGCTATTTGGCTGGCATATAATACTGAATTGCATGTTTTTCAGCAAAACTTTGGTCAGCGCATCACAATAATGTATACCTAACAATGCATAATGATCGATCTCTCAGGTACGTTCAAGTTGACACTTCAGTTTTCAGAAGATTATCCTAATAAGCCACCAACAGTGCGATTCATATCTCGAATGTTTCATCCCAATAGTAAGCTGTTATTATCAAATAGACTATGTTGATTTGCTGAATTTTTGCAGGCAGGTTTGTATACGTCTGTCCATTGTTTTGATAGAGCATGTAGTATGTCATTCGACACTGGTCTAGTTTTGTACTCCCTCCGTCCCAAAATAAGTGCCCACTTTCCAATTCTACCCTTAATTATGAAATAGAGAAATTCAGTACTCTCTTCATTATTAAGGGTATAGTTGTCATTTAGTTAATTAAAAAAATTAATATTAAGTGATGACAGGGTGTTTTAAATATATTTTTGAAAGAAATTATATCAAAAGTTACTTTATTAAATCTTTGTAGGAAGTTGTTGCCTAAGAGGATATCAGAACCTGTGTCATAGAAGTAAAAAGGAGGACATTTAATCGTAAATGATCCTAATATTATTGGTTCTTGGATTTCTTTATCTAATATAAGGGGGTATCTTTAGATATCCCTCTTCTTTTATGAAGTCTTAAATCTTGATGGTATTCTTTAGGATAACAATCTGGTTTACATATACATATCCCTGCACCACAATCTATGGAAGCAGCAACACACTCTGCTTTATAATCTAATCTTTATAGGTGATTCCTACACGAATATATAAACTATAAGGATTTGTCATCTTGGTATATATATCATTTTCCATACATTTTATGCCTTTTTATTGTGGACATTTATTTTGGGAAGGGAGTGTGCCAAGGGTCTCGTCAACAAGGTGTAGACGACCCATGAATATGGTAACATGGGTGATTGGCATATGCATCGAGACAATCTGTGCCATATGCCGAATCTTAGACTCAAGATAACCATGTTAATGGCCAATTTGTTGACAGTGAGTCAGTGACCATGGACAGAAGTTTATTTGTTATAATCTATTAAATCAATAAACATCCTTATAATGTTAATATGTTATACGTTGGTTCCTTTAGGGTGCGTTTGGTATCAAGACAAGATACAACAGGACAGAACAAATTGAACAAAATGACTATTCAATGTTTGGTAAGACAGAACTAGACATAACAAATAAAATGACCAATTTACTTTATATATTTTGATTAATTATGTAATTTATTAAGTTATAATAAAGTGAATATTTATATAATAGTATATACCATTAGAAAGGTTTCGTCAAGACGATTAAAATGACACCAAAATAAAATGTTTATGTAGTTTCCAATTTTTATTTTGTACCTTTTTCAATATTATTTTTATTATTATTAGTATTTAATAAATTACATAAATTAATCAAAATGTAGAAACCGTACAAAAATAATATTTTGATGACGGTAAAGTGAAAGCTTAAAGAGCGTAAAATACAATGAATTAAATATAAAAGTTGAATAAAATGTAAAGAGCAAGGCGTATTTGATGTTTTAGAAGAGAATTAAGTTTTATCTTGAGGTTATATTGGTAAAACATAAATCTATTCCACCTTGTTCCATCGGGAGTGGGTGGAGCAGGTAATTCCACATAAAAGTCCTACCAAACATGGAATATTGATCCCTGTTATGTCCTGTCCATTGTACCAAACGCAACCTTATGCATATTGCTGCTCTGTTTGTACTTTTATTGTTCATGACGTTATAAGTCATTAACCCCTTTTATTCTTTTTCTATAAACAGTTTATGCAGATGGAAGCATATGTTTGGACATTCTTCAAAATCAGTGGAGTCCAATTTATGATGTTGCTGCCATTCTCACATCAATTCAGGTGTAGTATTTGGTTTAATGTATTATAAGCGGAAAATATGTGCCTGCATGTTCATCTAGGGAAGCTTTTAGTGGTTCATTAGAAACATGAGACAGCTTTCATTCACAATTCCGGACTGTAACACGTACAGCCTATGCTGTTACAGCGGTCAAGGTACAAAATAGCGACTAGGACTGATTTCAAATAGCGGTTATCGCGGTATAGCGGTCCAAAAATAGTGGTTCATATTTCTTAGAATTATAATATATATATATATATATATATATATATATATGCATACATAACTTAACTAATTAAAAATATAGTTTCAACATCAAAACATCAACTTGAACAAGTTTCACAAAACAAAACAGGAAAAGTGTTCACAAACGAGCTAATCGCAAGCAATGGGTTCAACATCCAAGTCAAGTTATGTCAACAATGATAGAAAGAAATTGAAAACCTAAGAATTTCTAAACCGGATGCAGGATGCAATTCGTTGACTGTTAATGGATTAAAATAAAATAAGGGCCCAAATCAAAATAAAAGCCCAAAAAAGGACAAAAATGTAAGCATTAGATTTAAAAGAGGCCCGACTGAGAATATCGGTATGGCGGACCGCTATTTTACCTCAAATATGGGTGAAATAGTGAAATTGCCCTGCTATTCTCGGAACCGCAATTTACCAATTTTGCTTTATGACTGATAACCGCTATTGCATCACTATTGCGCTGCAAATAACAGCATAGCGTACAGCCTATCCTAATTTTATAAGGTGAACAGGAATAACTAAAATCCTATACATTTGGACTGGATTTCAAGTACCAGCCCAGTTGCTCCACCATGTTGTTGATTACCGTTTGTGTGGTTGTCATTTCTTTTGGTTCATGTTGTGGAATCACAAATGAACTCGAATAAATTTATACATGATTACGGTACATATTCATGTTTCTCTCATTCTTGTTGTAACCTTGTATGCATTTTTGGATTTTGAGCTTGGGATGTTTTTCCAATTTACATATTCCCCATATACATAGAATCCAACTGGAGTTGTCAAATGGTAATTTGGAATATTGGAGCATTCTTTGAAAGTGTGTGGTTTTGTTTCACAATTTGTGAAGTCCACGCTACCTTGCTTTAAGATATTTTGGATTACATGTAAATTTTGACTTTAAGGGGATGTTTGGTTTATGGGATTTGGAATTAGATTTCATTCCAATCCTCCTTTGGTTTAAAGGGAAGTCCTGAATTGAAATCCCACAAACATTGGATTTATTTGTTATAATGTCTTAAAATAATGTTAAAAACATTTGTTTTGTAATAATCAATTAATAAGGTAATTTAATTATTTTTATAATTATTTATAATTTGAATCATCTATAAAGAATGGTATTCAATTCCGTCCGAAATCCTACAAAACAAACACACCAAAGATTTAGTTTTGGAAAACTACTTTCTGACAGAATAAGGAATCTGTAGGTTTTGATTTTTTCAGAGTTTCCTTCATGCTCCATGGTTGGTTAGATTTTACGGTGATGGGTCTAGCCTTTGTCTAGGCATGAAAATAGGCAGATGTTCATCTCATCTAAAAACCATCGCTGAAGCTTCTCGTTGCTGTTGGGAAGACTCTTTGACGTTTCTTCACAAGGAATAGAACAAGTACATGGCTTTGAACTCATGGATTGAATAACTGAATTCAAAGTCTTATCATTTTTGGTTAAGATTTGACCTCTGAAAAAAAAAACATCTATCTAGCCATTGACTACATAAATAAGGACCTATATGACCAACAACTTCACATAAAATGATTTTGTAAGGCTTTTGCAAGGCACCTAGGCGTTTACAATAATATCCATATATATATATATATATAGTCACATATACACACACACACCCCACGATATACATGTTAAATAATGAGGAATAACTTGAAGCGTATTTGCTTATGTCATCATGCTTTATATTGACGAGTAAGTCTAGGTTTGCTAGTTATTCCCTTTCCTTTCTATGGTTCCTTCTCTTTTTCTCCCCTCTCTTTGGCTTTTTTTTTCTTTCTTTTTGGTGTTTGTGGGAGGGGTGAAGCTGCTATGAGTTATATGGGTTAGTGTACAGAGGTAAAGTGGGGGAAGTTTCAAGTTGTAGTTGATGGATGAGACTCGTGAGAGGAGAATGTGTGGATAAAAAACAGTTTGAGGGCTGAATTCGGTTTATGCTTCCACCAATGTTTTGAGCAGCTACAACTGCAAATGTGTATAGGAAAGCGACAAACTCAACATCAAGACTAAGGGGATGCTTAGGAAGTTCATTTTTCTTATACAATACACATAGAAGAGTAATGCTAAAAGATGACCCTTAAAGAAGTGAAGTCTTTATAATAAGTTTAACACACAAATGAAAAGTTCTTGCATAAATATAATTCGTTAGATGCATAAGAAAGAAACCAAAACAAATAAGAGGAACCCAATATATCCCACACCGAGGTAGGGCCTGCTGATAGGATGTACACAAATTTTGTCTCTACCCTAGAGGGTAGAGAGATCTTTTTCATAAAGACCCACAACTTGCAAAACAAAAGCAAAAAAACAAGGAGACATGTAGCATAAGAAACACGAAGTTGAATATATAAAATTCTACTCACAAAGTTAAAAGCTTAGAAAGACACAAAGCTAGCTAGACCTGGGACTGATCCGGTCCTTGGTCTAGACTCTAGGAAGAGGGACTTGGGGGTTGTTTGGTTGATCTTCCATCAAGTCCTGTATGAATAAAGCCGTTTGTGTGGATTAATTTGTCTGTATAGATTGAGTATGTTTTTGTTTGGGAGAGTTTTTTGATAGATGGAATGAGCATGTTCCTTAATTGGGAAGGGGGGGTTTGGAAAAAAAACTTGGCTTTCTGCATAAAGCTCCCCCTAGAAGCTTACTAAATAAGCCACTTTTTATATCATTAAGCCAATACCAAACAATCATATATAGCTGACCGAATAAGCTGCGAGTCCCATTAAGCTCATTAAGCTGCTAACAAGCAGGCCCTTGTAAGGCCATATGTGCAGCTAGATTAGAACTGGGCTAGTCTTTGCCGGAACAGTCTCTACTATGAAAGGCCGACTGCTGACCACCACTATAGCACTACTCATACCTTTTGCAAGCAATGTAAAGCAGTGACCCTTCATAAACTTTACCATCTTTGATGGCTATTTTCACACAATTATGATATGCTAGATGTCTGTACAGTGGTTGATTAAGCATGATTGTATATATCTAACTAGATTTGATTTTATTATCCATTACTTCTACATTTTCTTGCAAACTGTATTTCAACATTTATCAACGATCTACTATATGCAGTTTGTTTTTATGGGAACATATAAACTTACATGCTAAATAATACCGACCCCGTCCCACATTTCTATTTTAGTTTGTCCGAAAATAAGTGCCTGAGTTTTAGGGGCTGTTTGGTTGGTTTTCCATCAAGTTTGTATGAATAAAGATGACTATGTGGATTAATCTGTTTGTATAGATTGGGAGGGTTTTGTTTGGAAGACGCTTTTCATAGATGGAATGAGGTGTTTTTTAATTGGGAGGGGCAGGGTTGGAAAAATTGGCTTTCTGCATAAAGCTCCCCCAAGAAGCTTACAAAATAAGTCACTTTCTACATAATTAAGCGACTACCAAATAGTCATGTATAGTTGACTGAATAAGTTGTGTGTCCCATTAAGCTCATTAAGTTGCTTAAGTTGTTAACAAGCAGACCCTTAAGTGTCTACTTTCTCATTCTACCTTCAATTATGATTGGGGGGGGGGATTCATTATCCATCTGTTATTAAGGGTAAAATTGTCATTTAATTAATTAAAAAGTGTAATAATCTCACATTCCTAAAACTGTGTATTGAACCTTGTTTAGAGATGTTTTTTGCTGGGATTGGCCCAGATTTGGGATTAGCCCACTTTTCTGTAGGTTATAGGGGAATGTCAATGCATCCGGGAAAAAACATGAGACTTTCATCTCACTCGCCTCCTAAGCGATAAAAGAAAGAAGAGCTTTTTCGTTGTGGACATTATTTTGGGATGGAGGGATATTTCAGCTACTTTGAATTACATTAATGAATCTAGTTTATAGCTATTCCGGTTCTTTTTCCTGATTATTTTCATTGTGTTGTAGTCATTGCTCTGTGATCCAAACCCAAACTCACCAGCCAATTCCGAAGCTGCACGGTTGTTTAGTGAGAATAAGCGTGAGTATAACAGAAAAGTGCGTGAAATTGTGGAGCAGAGCTGGACGGCTGACTGATGGTCGGGAAGGCACGGAGGATCAAGAGGTCATCATTTTCGCACCGACAAATCTCCCGGTATGGTGGTACTTTCTTCTGAGATGTACTTGTTTAAGAGATTCAATAACAAGCTTAGCGAAACACTATGTTTATTTGAAGGTGTCATGCCATACAAATACAATATTTAGGGAATTTAAGCTTCTGTCATCTTTGATCCGTGATACGTTGCTTGCTTATCAGACATGTGTGTATATATAATTATTTCTTGTGTTATGTCGGTATGAAATTGTGCCAGTATTTCTAGCTTTTTGACCCATTCGTTTCTAGTTTACCGTGCATTTGGTATGTGGAAGGGATGGGACGGGATTGGACAGGACTGAAAAGAGTGAGGTTTGTGGAAGGTTTTAGGATTTTAATTTGACATGGGTAGTTTTGTAATTTACCAATCTTGATTTTTGTTCCACTTTTTTTTGTGGGACAAAAAAAATGCATTTCCTTGATTCCGTCCCACTCAGGCAGGTCTAGTTAGGTCCCCCTCTCATGTCGCACCAAACATGCGACAAGAAGTTTTTGTTCCTTGTCTCTTTCTGTTATTCTTACCAAACATACCCTGAATCCTATATCCTATCACAATGTAATATTCAAAATTCATGGAAACAGTTGCTCTACTCTCTGGGGTAGAGGATAGTACCGCCTACATCTGACCCCGGACCCCACCTTTGGGTGGAACATGGGATATACCGGGCTCATTTGGTTTTGGTTTGGTAGTATTCAGAATCAAGAGTGGAGAATGGAACCATTCGTATTATAACCATTAACGACATCTCGAGTGACTAGATTCATAATGACCGGGGATTGCACTCCTAGAAACTAAATGGACCCAATAAATGCCACTCAAAAGTAGGGTCTTGGGTTGAGATGTATACAGATCTGACCTCTATATTCTATCCCAAAAAGTAAAGCAGTTGTTTGACAGCAAAGCGGATATAAATGATGTCTTTTTTTATATAATGGAGAGGTGGGGTAGTTATGTAGCTACAGCAGGTTGAGTAAATGTGTACATAAGTGGTGACAGAAGGATATATTGTTTCAGAAAGTATACGGCCACCAGTTTGCAATTGGCATTGATGATGATTCTAATTTCTAGCAGCAGCAGCTGCTGCTGCTCTGGACCACCATACCACCACCAACCACCACCCTTTTATGGCATATTTGGGGTACTTGTTGCTGACTACTTGATGCAGGTAAAGTTTGTCTGCAGACGGTTCTTTGTCGTAAACGAGGGGCCGGTGGGGTCAGAATGGATGGTTCGGAAACTGGTTAAGGTCCCAGCTCTGGTTACATTTTGACCGGTTAAAGAGAGACGGGTTATCAGTTTTTATTGGATATGGGTTCTTTAGAATCGGTTAAGGTTAACCTGTTGGCACCGAACTTGAAAAGAAAGCGTCGTGAGGATTGGTTATACTAGTCCATATATCGGTTACGTATCTTGTGTTAGAAACCGGTTATATGGTGACACTTTTTATACGGTTTATCATCTAGAGGTGGGTTCAAATGTGACCATCATTTTACGAAAAGCGAGTCTCCCTCTATCACATGTGATACTAAGGCCTTGTATGCTAGCAGTTTAACCAGCTTAATGAGACTCACAACTTAATCGATTAGCTATGCATGAGTGTTTGGTAGGGGCTTAATGGTGTAGAAGGTGACTTATTTAGTAAGCTTCTAGGGGTTGTTTTATGTATAAAGCCAAGTTTTTTCTAAACTTGTCCCTTTCCATTAGAAAAACACTCGTTCCATCTAAAAAAAACCATCCTAAACAAAAGCATTCCAAATCTATATTAATAAATTAATTCACACAGACAACTTTATCGATACAGGACGTGGACGACTTTTGGTGCAACCTAATTCGTGGGCCAAGTTGTTCATATGCAGTTATCCCCTCGTGTATGTTATCACATGCGGTGTTCTTGGGTTTTTCCTGTAAATTGATGATGTTCTCGTTTAGACCTCCGGCTTATCATCAAATACCCAAAGATTTATCAAGTTAGTGGTATTTGTATGAAGAAAGTCGAGTCGGCGCACATTCTTCTGTACCAAGAACATCATGTAAGAGGTAAATCAGATACACAGTGGCATATCAGGGAACTGATATAAGAGCTCAATGCCAACATTAAACTCAATTTCCTATTAAATCGTACCTCATGCATTACAACTCTCAAACTCAAATGCTTATTTGCTTGTGCAGATATATCACCTTCATACCAATTGTGTTATACCCTTGTGCTAGTTTTGATTCGAGCTAAATAAAAATAAACTGTTTTAGTAAACGAATTCTTTTGGCGGGTTAACTTTCACGACTGTACTTGAAAGTTTCCTACCTCATGTGACTTGACAATCAACTTTTACTACATAAACAGATCTAAACTGTCAAATTTTTATTAAACAAATTTTTAAAAATGGGGTTTTTAATGTTAAAAAATTATTTTCAAAATTGGAATTCGCATACAGAAAATTGATTTAAAATGCCCCCAAATTATCATAATTAAAGCTGTTGGATAAAACATCCATATCCAAGAAAGTATGGATAATTGACCTATCATTGAGGAGCTGAAATTTAAAGTTAATACATATCTATCTACTAATTTTTTTAGTTTATATATATATATATATATATATATATATATATATATATATAGAGAGAGAGAGAGAGAACATTTTAAATGCAACCTATTACATTTGTATAACCAATGCAACCAAATTAATTGAGATATTTATGGAAATGCTGATGGTTCATTTATTATGATTTAAATATTTATGGAATATGACTATAGTTCATTAATTATGATGAATATTTTATATTATGAAACAATTAAATTTTTTATGAAATCACATGTTCATCAAATTAAATGGATGGTTGAGATTGAGATGTATTAGTTGTAGAAATGTAAATGGTTGCATAATAACTCATCTCTCTCTTTTTTCTCTCTCTCTCTCTCTCTCTCTCTCTCTATATATATATATATATATATATGGCAAATTGTATGAAAAACTAACGTACTTTAACTTGATTTCTATTTTGGGTAACGTACTTTCAAAACTTCTATTTTGATATTTAAGATGTAAAGTTTTAAATGTTTAAGTACCTGGGTGACCAGTGTTGAAGCATTAACCAATTACCATGTTGATGTTGCGAATGATGTGGTATCCAACTCAGTATTATTTGCTGACATGAATATCTTAATCTAAAATTAGTTTTTATGTATTGTGGTTTTTTAGATGAGAGAGTTAATGCTTTAACCGGTTACCCCGGTACTTAAATGTTTAAAACTTTACATCTTATGCACCAAAATGAAAGTTTTGAAAGTACATTACCTAAAATATGAATCAAGTTAAAGTACATTACTTTTTCATACAATTTGCCCACATATATATGTTAATGAAATATATTTTTTATATTGTATATAATTCGACTTGGTTTTGATATAAATAATTATACATTTTACAATTGTTAATAGTAAAATATATATGTGTAAACATTATGAAAATAATTTATTAATCCATATTTGGATTTTACTTAAAACATGGGAGTTTCAGATACAAACCTTTTAATCAGTACAAATTATATAAACCAATCTCAACCGTTCATCTAATCTAATGAATATGTGGTTCAATTAATCTCGATTATTTATTAATATAAAACGTTGATCAATAAATGAATTCCAATAATCTTCTATAAATATCACAGATCATAATAAATAATCTTTTATTATTCCATAAATATCTCAATTAATTGATCTGTATAATCTATATTAATAATTAAGTTTGTAAATTACACCATCTTTATATTCTGATTACCTAACAATGATATATTTATTATCAAAATATAATATAATTTTTGTAATTTTAATTTATTAAAATAATAAATAGTCAAATTATATATTTATATATCAATTATACTTACATATCTACTTTGTCAAGCAGTATAAGACAACTTATTAAATTGATTGAACACTGATAACGTCTAATACAGTCTACCAAATTATTCCTAAATATTGATAATGGTTGTTGAACTATCTAATCGAGTCATTTACAGAATTTCATAATAAAATTACTTTTTAAAACTGTTAAGTTGTCTGTTACGTCATTCAGTTAAATTTTACATTAAACAGTATCAAACAAAAATTAATAAAAAGTTTTGTGTTCTTTTGTTGGTATAGATAATTTTGATGTAAATGAATTATGATAATCTTCTATAAACATTTAAATTATAATAGATACTCTCTCATTATTTTTATAAATATTTCAGGAGTTGTTTGTTTATCTCTAATAGTTTATTAAGAGGCAACATTTGAATAATCAAGTGATGAATCTTGTTTGGCAAAAAAAAGGTTTGCCTCTTAATTATTTTAAAACATTTTGAATGATTTTGTATTCTGTGCCTCACTTAACCATTCAGCGTTCTAATTTCATTGTAAACAATTACCAAATAATTATATTTCATTTTGCACTGTGTCATAAAAAGTCTTTTAATTATTCTAATCACTTAATTATTCTGCATAAAATCATTCAGCAACTGACAAACAACAACTGAGTTTATAAAAATAATATCTTATCTAAAAAATTACATCCATAAAAAAATATATAAAAAATAATAGAAAGTTTAGAAATTCGAAAATTTTGTTTTACTACCTGCTCCCTAAAATTGATGGTGGAAACCAAAATCCACCCACAGTCTCTGTAGTGAGAGAAAGTAGAGAGGCGAAGTCGGCTTCATGCTCCAATTCAAGGTATCATCTCCATCAATGTCTTTGGATTTCAATTTTCAACTTCTTTCTAAGCTTCAATCTCGCTGTTTGTTTGTGTTTTTTTTTGGATAATCTTATCTGTGTTTTCTTCTGGTTGAATTTTCCTGTGGTTTTGCTTTTGCAGGGGTTATAAATTAGGGTTTTAACGGCGATTTTTGTTGATCAGGTACATTTCCAGATCTAAACCACACTGATTACAGCCCTAGCTCGTCGCCTAATTTTTTTTTTGATAGTTGAAGTATCATTTTCTGCTGCAGATCTGCGTTAGGTTTTAGAGACATTGCTTTATTTCATGGTTATGACGTGTATGATGCTTGCAATTGGTTTTGTAGCTATCTCTGATTTGTTCTTATATGTGTAGCTTAATTAAGTGATAATCGTTTTTTTGATGATGAGTAAGTTCTAAGGCATGTTTTGGTTTCACTGACCAAACTTGTTTACTGTTTGTGCTGGCTAGATCTATTGTAGCTGGCAGAAAACTCAAATATTTCATTCCCTAAAGCACCATGATGTAGGGTATTCCAAAAAACCGTTGGACCGATCAAACCGGTTAAACCAAGTCAAACTGGACTATTTTTGGAGGTTTGAGCGGTCTGGCGGCCCAACCCGGTCTGTGGTTTGAATGTTTTTACTAGTGGTTTGACTGAACCGAAGGCAAAATACACATTGTTATATTTAGTTTAGGCTCAACTTTTATGGTCCAATTAACATAAAGGTCGGTCTAAAACACTATGTTTTTAGTTTTCGTATCTCGATTGTCCATGTTTAGTAAATTGGCAAAATTCCTAAATCCATCAAATCAAAATCCAAACTTTCATATCGTATTTCAACTTGCTCAATGTTTGTCAAAATTCCAACTATTGTTGGTAGACTTGTTTAACTTTTTTTCAATTTGCTCAATGTTTTTTAATTTTGGAGGTAGATGTTTCTTTTATAATTCGGTGTAGTATTTTTCAAATACTATTATATTGGTAGAAATTTCATTTTGCAGATAGATGTTATGTTTTTTTAGTTTATGGCCAATAATGTGAACTTCTAATTATGGGATGGGGGAAGTGAGCTTAACACATTACTTGTTCATGTTGTATAAGTAATGGAAAAAGAGTTTGAATGGAAACAACATTTTTATACTAAAATTTGTTCTATGTAAGTGCATGTACGGATAAAATCATTTTTGCTAGTTAGTTGGGGGTTCCGTGCTTTTTGCCTTCTAGCTTGTTAAGAGTTCATTTCTGAAATTCAGGGACTTTGAGGTTACACTGATCCTAACATCCATCTATCAACAATGGGGAAGTCTCCTGGAAAGTGGATCAAGACTCTGCTTTTTGGGAAGAAGTCATCAAAATCTAACCTCTCAAAAGTAAGTAAACAATGTTTATATCTATCACTTATATTTGAATATGCATATTAACGGGCTGTTTGGTTGGGTTTCCATTAAGCCCTGTATGTATAAAGCTGACTGTGTGGATTAATCTGTCTGCATAGATTTGGAGGGTTTTTCATAGATGAAAGGAGTGCGCTCTTTTATTCGGGGGGGGGGGTGGAAAAAAATTGGCTTTCTGCATAAGGCTCCCCCTAGAAGCTTACTGAATAAGTCACTTTATATATTATTAAGCCACTAACAAACAGTCACTGCNAAGTAAACAATGTTTATATCTATCACTTATATTTGAATATGCATATTAACGGGCTGTTTGGTTGGGTTTCCATTAAGCCCTGTATGTATAAAGCTTGTCTTTATAGATAAGGAGGGTTTTTGTTTTTGATGAGTTTTTCATAGATGGAATGAGCGTGTTCTTTAATTGGGGGGGGAAGGTTTGGAAAAAAATTGGCTTTCTGCATAAGGCTCCCCCTAGAAGCTTACTGAATAAGTCACTTTATATATTATTAAGCCACTAACAAACAGTCACTGCATAGCTGACCAAAACAGCTGAGTCCCATTAAGTTCATTAAGCTGTTAATAGTTTGATCCTGATGTCGTCTTATTCTTGAAGGATGCTACTTTAAACAAAAAGACCCCCATCACTATCAACTCACAAGCAAAGGATTTTAGTGCTGATTCTGTGGTGATTTCAAGTCCGGTGCCGCCTGTCATCGACGCAAGCGGAGAACATACACAACTGGAGAAGAGCTCCAGCGCCAACTTAACGGATGATACAGCCGAGAATGTAAGAAATACTCTGGGGTTAAATACTGCAAATGATGACGAGTTAATCAGGCTAGAGCAGGCTGCTACAAAGGCACAGGCAGCTTTCAGGGGATACTTGGTACGGTTCTGGTACTCGATTAAATGCATTATTTAAAGAACATGTAGTGTAAAAAAGTTTAGGGCCATGAAAGGTGACACCGTATTGGTTTGTTGGGGGCAACTGTATATTCCTTGAAACAACTATTATAACTTAAGTTTCTCTTGGCAGAGTTGGTTTGCACAGTCTTTTTTTCCCTTCCAGGCATGGGTTTGAGTCCCGTTTGTATTATTTTCTTAGTTATTAGCTTTTAATTTCAGGTTTATTATGTTGTTTCTGTTAAAAATTGTGATAAAAGACTCGAACAGAGGACCTCATATACAAAAAGCAAGGAACTAACCAACAGATCAATGATGATTATGTAAAAAATATCTATAGCTTCATTTTTTATAGTCAAATGGTGCCACCACTTGAAAAAATTCCTAGGTCCACCTCTTGTCATTAGCTTCAAATTGCAGGAAATAAGTGCTATCCCAGTACAGACCCATGTAATGTATCCTCATCTAGCCTTGTGTTTGGTTTAATTCAGTTCATTTTTGTTTTATGTTTTGCATAATATGTGTAGTATCTTTACTAATATAAATAATTCTGTGAAGGCTCGTCGGGCATTTTGGGCCCTCAAGGGCATCATAAGGCTCCAAGCACTAGTTCGTGGTCACCTGGTCAGGAGACAGGCCGTTGCTACTTTAAGTTGTATGCGTGCGATTGTTGAGTTTCAGGCACTTGTTCGTGGCCAAAAGGCCAGACTTTCTGAGAATGGTCAAATGCTTCAAAAGAAAACTCCACGAGAACTTGTGGTAACTATGCTCTTTTATTTGTCATGAATTCTTATTTAATTAGCCCTAATCTTGCTCTGTTTCATGTGCAACTGATCCTGACATCTTGTCTGTATGTTCTATTAGCACAAAGAACGGGCCAACTTGCTTCAAACATCTCTCCAATCAGAGAAGCTATCAATAAACACATTTGGTGCTAAGGTACCCTCAAATATTTATCATACTATACGTGTACGTTAATACAAGCGTGACAGGATTTTTTTGGCCTACATTTCGATTATTTATTAAAAAGTTTGAGATTCTAGTTTCACAGCAAAAACCTTTTTTAGTTGTTGTTAATCATGAGTTCTTTCCGGCTCTCTTAGCCCTGAAAGGAAAAAGAAAGGAAAACAAATATTTCTTCACTAAAAATATTGTGATGTTTCTGTTTATAATAAAGCCTGTTGTTACCCTTGCTAGACATGCAAGATGGTCCTGTACAATTTTGTTCTTGTATGGGCTCTTGCCTGGTGCTTGCTGTATGCGCACGATGCACCTAGAGATAAGAACATCATAGCGGTGGGTTCATCCACCTAAGGACCGCTTCTTCATGCTTGTACCTCCATTGGGACAAACCGGTCCATGCCCATATGGCATGGATTCGGTTCTTGCAGATAGACGGCTCTCTCTCAACTTTTTTTATTTTTGTTTTTCAGAATTAATATTTATATATTAAGGTATAATAATTTTAAAATTACTAATAAATAAAATGTATTTTAACAAAAAAAAAAATTGCGTTTTAATGGTTTTTTTTTAAAATTCTCATTCTTATGATATTTATTTCAAAAATCATTAAAAAATGTGGGATTCATTGAAAAATTGTGGACCAGTCCACGATTGGAAAATAATTTGGTTTATAGGTTTATGAGATGAGTAGGAGAGAGAGAGCTAACGTGGCTGAGTCATGAACATGCGATTCAGGTCCATGAGTGCGGATGCTCTAAGGCCCTTTACTACTACTACTACTACTAGTCCACTACACATGTTTGGTTATACCCTGGTTATTATGGTAGCCGAATATCATTATAATAGCTGTGGTACAAGTGGGTAATGCACTAGTACTAGTAGGTAAAGCAGGGACTTGTGATAAGTGTGGTATTTTACTTTTTGTTAATTAGCTAGTATAAACAAGGGAAATTAGACACAAAGGGGACATCAATGAGTTTATGCATTTGAGATTGGCAAGAGCCTTGGGAGATAGTCAGCCTCTCAAAGCTGAGGATCTGTTGTAAGCATTCGATTTGTTATCATTCGACTGAATGAGTAAAACCAAATTAGTCCTTTGTAAGCATTCGATTTCTCCATCTTCGGGGGTAGAGGCAAAGTCTGCCTACATCTTAACCCCTAAACCCTACCTCTGTGTGGGATATACTCAGTTCGTATTGTTTCGTTTTTTCGTGATTGCACTTGTGTCGGGTGGATGGCTTATTATCTTGTTTATAACATCATTGTTATTGCTATTATTTTTTAAGATGATCTGACAAATATGCTTTATTGCTTATTTCAGCTTGTTGCTTCATCGAACAGTACTATGCCCTTGAGCATCCAGTATGATCCAGTTGAATCGAATTCAGTGAGGAGCTGGCTTGAGCGTTGGTCAACTTCCCATTTCTGGGAGCCACTTCCACGACCCAAAAAGACCCTTGATACAAAGCCAAAAAGAAAGCAAACCAAATTGCAATCTGAAGAAACCGAAACCGGAAGGCCAAAGAGAAGTGCTCGGAGAGTTCCTGCAGCAAATCTCGATAATAATCCGTTGAATTCCTCTGAAAACGAAAAACCCAAACGCATTGCAAGGAAAGTCTCGAGCATCCAAGCGGAAGCAGTACAAGAGCAATCTCATAGTGAACTCGAGAAGGTGAAACGCAATCTACGAAAAATTTCCGTAGCTGCTGCCGGGGTTTCTGAGAAACCAGAAGTTCCAACCGAGAAGCTTCCAGCCGAGAAACTTTCTGTTCCTGAGCTGTGTCCAGATGAGCCACTTGAGAAAGTAAACGAGACCGATATCATAGTAGCAAAACAGCCCGAGCCAGAACCGATTCCGGCTACACCTATGGAGGACCAACCGCTTGATGTTAATCCTCCACTGGTCGAAACCAATGGGAAGGTCGAGAATGAATCCCATTTGAACGCGGAATCAAACGGCAAGGAAAATCAGAAAACAAGGAGGAGAAAGTCTTTTCCGGCAAAGCAAGAATATCCCGAAAGTGTCTCACAGAACTCACCCACCTTGCCAAGCTACATGGCGGCAACTGAATCGGCAAAGGCCAAGCTTAGAGCACAGGCGGCGGCAAAGGCGGCAGAAGATGGAGGTGAAAATGGTTCTGCCAGGCGGCATTCTCTGCCCTCCACCACCAGTAAACTCAGCTTACAGTCACCTCGTGTTCAGAAACCATTACAAGCAAACAGCAAAGGAGGGAGTAAAACTAACAAACCCCAAATATCTCCCAGAGATGGTAAGCACATCTGTTTCACACCTCTTTTCTCAACTCTACTAGTTAATTGTTAGATGGTTGTTTCAGTTTTTCCTACATTTCATGTCTTATTTAATATTTATACATGGACCTTCTACTGTATGACAACCTTAGCATTTCCCGCTTTTATGGTACGACAACCTTAGCATTTCCCGCTTTTACTATACGACAGCCTTAGCATTTCCCGCTTTTACTGCATGACAGCCTCAGGATCTCCCGCTTTTACTGTACGACAGCCTTAGTTTTTCCCGCTTTTACTGTACGACAACCTTAGTTTTTCCTGCCTTTAATGCATGACAACGTTAGTTTTGCTGCTTTTACTGTATGACAATCTTAGTTTTCCTGCTTTTCCTGCATGATGACATTAGTTTTTCCTTCTTTTACTGAATGACAACCTTAGTTTTTCTGTTTTTACTGTGTCACAATCTTAGTTTTCCTGTGTCACAATCTTATTTCCAGCTTTACTGTATTATAACTTAGTTTTTCCTGCTTTTACTGCATGACAGCCTTGGTTTTTCCGGTTTTTACAGTGTTGCAATCTTATTTTTTCTTGTGTCACAATCTTAGTTTTTTTCCCTCTTTTACTGTATTATAGCCTTAGTTTTTTCTGTTTTTACTGTAGGGCAACCTTAGTTTTCTTGCTTTTACTAAATGACAACCTTAGTTTTTCCTGGTTTTACTGCATGACACCCACAGTTTTTCCTGTTTTACTGCGTCACAATCTTAGTTTATCCCGCTTTTACTGTTACAGCCTTAGTTTATCCCGCTTTTACTGCATGACAGCCTAAGCTTTTTCCTGTGTCACAACCTTAGTTTTTCCTGCTTTTACTGTATTACAGCCTTAGATTTTCCTGCTTGTACTGTTTGGTAGTCTTAGTTTTCCTTTTTTTTACCGTCACAACCTTCGTTTTTCTTGCTTTTGCTGTATGACAACCGTAGTTTTAGTGTAGGCTGAATCCCTAAATGTTGCTAAATGCACATATGCCTACTAATTTCCTTCTCACACATCAACATCAAAACTTTCTTTTTACATTTTCAATGACCCGATTCTGACATAAATACGGGTGCATAAAACAACACCCTTAGTTTTTCGTGCTTGTACTGTTTGACACCCTTGGTTTGTCCTGCTTTTACTTTTATTGTACAACAAAATTGGGTTTATAGAACGCTTAAAAATCCTAATAGCGTCCTATCTAGAAGTGTTACGATAGGTTTTAGGACGCTTTTAGGCGTTTTAACAAGTTTTTTGGGACCCTTTTAAAATGAAGTGGCTATAAAATGGCTAAAACGACACTTTATTTTAAAAATGTCTTTAAAGAACTTGTTAAAACGCCTAAAAGTGTCTGTAAACCTATTGTAACGCTTTTAAATAGGACACTTTATAGTTTGGTTATATAAACTTAAGTCCTATAAAATATGTTGTTAGACAGCTTAAACATTTTAAGCGTCATATAAACCCAGTTTTGTTTTAGTGTCCACCCTCCCAGATCCTATATCTGTGTCGGATTGATTGGGTTCGTTTGGTTTGGTTTGGTTTTAAGTCTTCATGAATTATGTTTACCTGTTCAACAAGTAACCGATTACGTTCCTTTCTGATATCCGTTTCAGAAAAGGTGCTCACATCAGGGTGGAGGAGGTGAGTGCAGCAATCGGCAAATCCCCGAGACCATCTACTACGTTTCCCGTATGTTTTTTGTTGTTGAAACTTGTCTCATGTTGTGGTACATTATTAGTCGTTAACGTATAACCCAGCGTTTCGTTATTGTTTGTTGTGGGTATTTTTATTGTTTTATTTTGCTTTTTGTGAGTGTTGTTAGCCAAACTGTTTGATTGTGTATAGCAATATGGAGGTAACCAAGCCAAGTCAAAGCCAAAGCCAAAGCCAAAGCCAAAGCCAAAGCCAAGCCAAGCCAGCCACAGTTAATTTAAAAGACCATTGATGTGTGTTTTCTTCTATTTGGTTTGAGCATCTTGGACGTGTGATCTTATGAATTGTGATGTATTTAGTATTATCCCATCGTTTCTTTTGTTTTTGGACTCTTCACGGCATATATGTGCTTGTAATTTATTACTGAATTAAATCAAACAATCCAATCCAGTATGGTGTATTTTATTTGAAAGCAAGGGTGATATATATATATATATATATATATATATATATAATTTAATCATTCAAAAGAGAACGAGTTAGTTTGTGATAACCGTGAGATCAAATCTTAACCACAAATCAATGGTTAAATTAGGAAATTAATAATTTTGGTAATTTGACTTGAAATTTTAATTAAAGGGCATTTTAGATATTTTAAAAATCTTATATATCCTCTCTTCTTTCTTCGTTGAACCTTATTCTGGCAAACGCATGATGCATGTTGTGATACGTTTCATAAAATAACGAAAATAATAGTGTGATACACTTAGCAAAGCAACATTACCTTATATATTGTGTTACACTTCGTAAAATGACAAAAATATATTGTGATACACTTCGTATAACGACAAAAATACATTGTGATACATACTATGATATCATATATGGTTGATGAATAACTGTATTACACTTGATGTTACATCTCCAAAGAGATCTAGGTTACATCCAAAAACCTTACATCTTCTGCGTTACATCTCCGGCATGATATGGCTTACGTGTCAAAGACCTTCCAGCCTAGTGGTAAAGGCTTGGGCATGGCATAGTCATGAACCCGAGTTCGAGCCCTGGGAGGGGAGTGTTGGCGACATTTAAGTGAGGCCATGTTTAGCCTCCAAATTTGCCGGGGATTAGTCGGGCTTTGGCCCAGACACCCTTACAAAAAAAAAAGATATGGCTTACGTTCCCGATCGAAAATGAGATCTGAACAAAAACATAAACCGAAACCGATCTGGGTTGTTCAATCGGGGGAGTCAGACCGGTGAAAGTGAGGGCTGAATAGATGATGGTCGGTGGTTAGAGATAGATAGAGAATAAGAAGCGGCGGTGGCCAGTGGCCGGATATAAGCGGAGAAGGAAGCGTCAGACGATATTGGGCAAATGAATTGGTGTAAAGTGACGCACCAGAGAGGAAACACGTTTTGGTCGACGATGGGGAAAGAGGGTCATAGGTGGTGATCTCATCCATTCTAACACACACACATCTATTTCAAAATTAGAATGTTAAACTAATTAAAGAAAATTGAATACTCAACACAATTTACTAATTTACCCTTCTACTTATTTTAAGAAATCATAATAATCATTCTGAATGATTGGTTCATGTTGGATCTCACGGTTACCACAAACTAAACAGTTCTCATTTGATTAGCCCCCCCCCCACACACACATATATATATATATATATATATATATATATATGTGTGTGTGTGTGTGTGTTTCCCCTTAAAAGATAACATCTTTAACAGATTCTCCAAAATAAGGATTATTGTTGTAACAGATTCTTCAAAACTTTCTCCAAAATTGAAAAATTAAGAGAGAAGATTAAATTCTTCAAATCTGAAAAACTCTCCACAAATGATTATTTTTTATTCTTTATACCACTGAGATGCTTGAACTAAATGAATATAATTTTTGTTCAGAGATTTTTACTTTTAATTTTCCATTTCAAGAATTTTTTAAAATTTATAAGAAAATCTTTAACCAGAAAAACTATCCAAAACATCTGCTTTTTTTATTTTATTTTAAAGAATCTGCTATTTCAAAAAATAATATTCGATATAAAACTCTAATAATTTATTACAAGATACTTATATATATATATATATATATATATATATATATATTGGATTAATAAACATAATAATTAATTTGCAATTAAAATAATATAATACAAACAGAATGGTCATTGGAATATTTGATTTAATTTTTATAAAAACGAGTAATTCCAAATCTTAAAAAAAAAAAAAAGTTGTAAGTTGTCCCATGCGGTGGGGCCGGGGGCGGGGGCTGGGCTGTAATATGCGCTGCTACCCATTTACGCCTAACGGATATTTTCATTTAAGAACGTTTTGGATAATAGCTTCAATTTTATAAATAATAAAATAATTTTAATTAATTTAAACACATGTAACGATAAACTCGACCTTTATAAAATTACACGTCACATGTGTTTAAATAAACATTTAAGAAACGTATGTTTAGAGATATTAAACAGTAATCAATGAAAATGAAAATAAAAGAAACTATTTGTTTTATATATAATAATGAGCTCATTCCTCCAGAAGCCCAAAATTTCATTCACGATTAAACTGAAAATTCATTCTCTGTCATTTTAAATTTAATTTCTCAGAATTAGCCCAAACCCTTATTGTGTTACAACATTATATTTGCGACATGCATCGAGACACATCTTGATTTCAGTGTTTTGTTTTATTCTTTTTTTATGTCAATATAATACATTTTTATGTGTTTAAATGTTTTTATTTTTGAAATAAATATAAATATGAAAATATCATAAAATTTTGAAAAAAAATTATATCGATATGAGTATCAAATATATCCCTTAAATTTAAGTGGTAAATATATCTCTTAATCCTAATCTGTCCTCTATCACACGGTTCATATTTTGAGGGTTGAAATATATTTGTTAGCAAAAACTATTCCTCTTTTATACCTTTTAAAAAAAGCTATTTATTTTTTAATCAATTCAAATTTCCGACTTCAGACGTAAAAATAAACAATCTTACTGATCCAGGTTCCAGACTTCAGAAACACCTCTTATAAATCAAAAGTGAAATCAGACTTCAGACTTCAACACCTCTTAAAAAACAAACGCCGTCTTAATTATATCTTATATCTATACTATATTATAAAACATTTGACAAAAACTCTTAAAAACTATTTTTTATCCACAAAATACTATTTATTGATGCATGATACTTAGAAGTTATGATTACAAGTAAATTGTGCATACATACAACTTATTAAAGCTCCATATTTGAATTCGTGTAACTAACTGCAGATAAACATGATCAAATATTGGATAAATACCTCATTTTAAATATAAAAAATCTAAAATATAATTAGGATAATCATTGAGTTCTAACAGAATATTTTAGTTATTATCTTTATAAAAAATTATATTATTAAACCTAAATTAAATTTATTTGTAACTAAACCTAAATTAAATTATAATTAAAAAATTGAATTAAAGAAATTACACCAAAACACAAGAACTTTTAAAAAGGTTAATTTGATACTGATATCGGTATTTTTTTTTTCAAAATTTTATAATATTTTCAAATTAATATTTTATTCATAAATAAAAACATTATCACTTTCTCAAAACCACATAAAACCGTATTATATTGACATAAAAAAAACGAAATATTGAAATCAAGATGTATCTCGCTGGATTGCGCGAACACCCTTCAATCCAGCGAGATACATCTTGATTTTATTGTTTCGTTTTATATTTTGGGTCTATCGATATTATAATGCGATTTTATGTGGTTTTGAGGAAAAAAATGCTTTTATTTTTTAATGAAATATAAATTTGAAGATATTATAAATTTTTAAAAAAAATAAGCAATATTAGTATTAAATTAACTATTTAAAAGTTCTTGTTTTTATGTAATTACTTTAATTAAATTTTTTATTATAATCTAATTGAAGTTTAAAAATGAACTAATTTATTTTTGGTTTAATAAATTTATTTATTTAATATAATAATTAATTATTCTGTTAGAACTCAATGATTATCTTAATTATGTTTTGGATTTTTTATATTTAAAATGAGATGTTTATCCTCTATTTGATTATGTTTATCCGTAGTTAGTTACACGAATTCAAACATCGAGTTTTAATAAGTTGTATTTATGCATAATTTAATTGTAATCTTGAATTTTAAGTAATATGCATCAATATACAATACTTCATGCATAAAAAATGGTTTTTAAAAGTTTTTGTTAAATGATTTATAATATAGTATAGATATAGAGTTGGGTTCATGTGAGACCAATATTCGTGAGACACGTGAGACCAATTTATGTTCATTTATCAACTTTATAAGCTAATGATCTAATGGTCTAAAGTTGTACAGTGATAATTTTGTGATTATTGAGATGTCTCGTGACGTTTATGAATATTCAGATCTGACAATTGTAAATCTAATCCAAGGGTTGAAAATTGGTATTACGGGTCTCACGAAAACCATATTTGATCCCACATGATCCCAAATATATATATATATATATATATATATATATATATATTTTGCAAGTGTAAAGAGTGGTATGCTAGGTAAGAGGGATATATAGAGATTATTGGGAACGGATTGTTTGGGATTTTGACCATGTCTCACCAATTATTTAGATCTTCTAATTTTTTTGTTCTATCAAAAACCCTTTTATCTCCAATAATATATCTATATATAATGGATAATATCAGAGATAAAAAGGATTTTTGATAAAATTAAAAAACTAAAAAATCTAAATAATTGGTGTGACATGGTCAAAATCCCAAACAACCACTCCCCAAAAAATCTCTATATATCCCTCTTACTTACACTTCCACTCCATTCCACCTTTCTTTTTTCCTTGCATTTTAATGGCATCCATCATCTCCATCATCTTCATCGTCAATTTTGTGTTTCTTTTGGGAGGTGTGAATGCCTCAAAACATGAAATAGGGATCTATGAAATCAACAATGGCCATTTTTCTGTTAAATTCACCAACTGGGGTGCAACCATTGTCTCCCTTCTTCTTCCTGATAAGAATGGTACACATACTAAACTCACCTTTCTCTGTGTGTGTTTTTTAATCTTCTTGTGGTTGGTTATACTTTCTATTTAATTCTTTGAAGAATCCCAGAATCTTTTTGGTGATTGCTATGGATTTTGAGGAGATTAATGTGTAATCATATATGAATGGTGCCACAAATACACACTAAACTCACCTTTCTCTCTGTGTTTTTCTTCTGGTTTCTCTTGTTTGGATTGAATCCCAGAATCTTTTTGGTGATTACTGTGGATTTTTGAGAAAATCATAACAGATACACTCTAAACACACCTTTATGTGTGTGTTTTTTTCTTGTGGGTTTCCCTTTTTTGAATCCCATATTCTGTTTGGTGATTGCTATGGATTTTGAGGAGATTAATGTATAATCATATATGAATGGCACCACAAATACACACTAAACTCACCTTTCTGTGTGCTTTTTTCTTCTGGTTTCTCTTGTTTGGATTGAATCCCAGAATCTTTTTGGTGATCACTATGGATTTTTGAGAAAATCAGAACAGATACACTCTAAACACGCCTTTCTGTGTGTTTTTTCTTGTGGTTTCCCTTCTTTGAATCCCATATTCTGTTTGGTGATTACTATGAATTTTGAGAAAATCAAGATTCATATA